TAAAAAACACACGAGCGTATATATTCCTTACTTTGAAAGTCAGAACAAAATAATTATACAATTTTATCATTGTTTGTCTCAACAATCAAAGGTACAAGGATTATAATGTTTCGATTTTACAGCAAGGAGCAGGTTTACCAAATGCATGAGAAACTGATTATCGAAAACATTTATTCTTAAGTGAACAGACGGATTAGCTAGAATTGTCTGTAATTTTCGACATTTAGACTAAGTCAGATGAGGGAAAACTTAAATATCATTTATGAGCTTAACTGCGAATCATACATTTAATCATTATGTTGTTTCTTTCAACTAATTAACTGGAAAAAAGAACAACAAGAAATTTTGCTTAAAAATGGATAATTTCGAAAAAAAGATAGAGGAAGTTTTTTTTTGCTTTTACCTAAACTTCAAATTTCTTTGCTTCCATCAAAGTGGTCAAAACATTTTGTGCGTCTTGAGAGCATTCGGGTAATTTTTTTTGAGTCAGTGTGTTTTCTACAGAAAAAAAACTATTTTTTCTTTCATAAAGGCGAATTTTAAAAGTACAACTCATTAGTCCTGGCAAAAAGTAAGTGTCAAATGGCTGACTTTTGAGTTTCGGTTTTTTCAAGTTTTTGTCAAAAAATTTTGTTAAATTCAAATTTACGGATATTTACATTGCTAGAAAAATAGATTTATATATATTTATTTGACTTATTGGTAATTTGCTTCAGATAGTGAAAAGGGTTTATTATTTAAGTTATTTGGAATATCAGTTTGATGTTTCCAGTTTAGAAATTAGTATACAAAACGGAGCAAATTAGACCTCGAATACGACAGTTAGATTTCTGATATGATACCACACTTGGTCTCCATACCATTTTTCAAAACGTGATCTAAAACTGGCCGGATAAAAAAATTCTGTGCCACAATTCTTTTAACCTCGTGAACCAATGAAAAAAAAAAATTTGTTGTTTTTTTATTGTTCCGACCATTAAAAACTTTGTATTCTGGCGTATTTCAGTGTTTTTTTTTGCACGCAAACTCAAGTACCACAAAAAATTTTTTTGTGCTACCTGGACATAAAACAACATAAAACCTTCTAAATCGGACCAAAACTGATATTTTTTTTTGATAAAAGGTAAATATGGATGGGCAAAGTTTGGTTTTTTTCACTAGATTTTGATTGTTTGTGAGTTGGTGTTCGTTGTGCGTGGATAAAATCGAAAAAAAAACTGGAAAAAATGATTTTTTGTCCAAAAAACGGAAAACCCAAGTATCCTCTTAATTTTTTTGTTTTTCAAACTTTCTCGAGTCTAAATAGGTTCCCTAGGGACTTCTTCAGCCTCAATTGTGAATCATGTTTTTCGGACACAGACTTTTTCTTCAAAGAAGATTTTTTTCTTCAAAATTTGGAAATTTCGATCCCCCGTAGTTCAGCAGAGTTGAAATCTGATGATTTTGATTATTCTTCTCTGTTGTTTTTTGACATGATTCACAATGGTAGCTGAACAAGACCACACTACATGGAAGTATTATTTCAGATTGATCAGACTGAATGGATGCACCGACAAAACACCTAACAACATCTCATCCTGAAATTGAATTACAATGATAATTTCCTATATCTTTCTTGCATATTTTTGAGCTCAAAAATGGATTTATATTGACCATTTTCTTCATTTGTTACATGTTGTTGCCCAAAAACTTGTTTATATTGATGATTTTCATGATTTGTTTGCATATTTTTTTGATTGAATCTTGTTTGAATTCAGCTTTTGTTTTGAGTTTTCAAACAGCATGGTACTTAGAGTAAAAAAAATCAGTTTTTCAGACAGTATAATCCATTTTTTAGACAATATAATCGATTTTTTGGGTCCTTAGAAAATGCATTACAATCGATTATAATCGATTTTATACAGATTTTATACAGATTCTATACAGATTTTATACCACAAAAATATCCATTTTCCAGACTATACAATCGATTTTTCTGAACTATATAAAATCCCTATATTGTTCATTTCAGTGTCTAATTGAGTTACATACAATCGATTTTTTACTAGTTATAGTCGGTATAAAAATCGTTTATTATTGATTGCAATCTTATTTTTGCCAATGTGGGTGGTAAGACTATTTTGTATACTCAAAGCATGTAGAATAAATATGAACTGGTTATGCGGAGAACTGATTTCAGAAATTATCTGAAAATTGTTCACTTCTAATATCGGATGAGATATAAACAAATTTTGTGCAGAAACAGAAATCAATAGCTTGGTTTATTTACTCATTTGTTGCACGCTGACATTCATTTAACTCAATGGCGTTTCCCAAGAAACTAAAAACTGAAGTTGATTATAAGAAACTGATTCAAAAACATTGAGTTTGAATAGCAAAATATCAGACAAAGGTTGATATTAACCTAAATTTGGAATCAAGATGAGCTAAAACAAAACAATACCGCTAGTTTATCAAGACAAAGCCTAAATGTTCCGACTGCCATTTAACTGGTCTCAAACTGTTTTTTTTTGAAATTTTGAGAATCTATGACTTTTGGGCGGGGGCGTTCAACAGTGCCGAAGTACAACAGTGCCGAAAAAGGCGGGAAAATTTTAGAATAATTTAAACGCGTTTTCTAAAAAGCGGGAAATTACTGACGCTTATTATCAAAGAAAATCACTCCATTTTCGACGCCAAAATGTCTGGAACTGCAAATTCAACAATTAATATGGTGCCAAAACGTCTAAATTGCAATTATTTTTTTCTCTCAAAATTTCTAAGTGTCACTTACGATTGTAAACGTTCGCCTTTCAATTTTTGATTGCCGCACTTAATATGCTGAAATTTGTTCATATTTTTGGAACTGTTGAACAAAGTTTTCATTTTCGGCACTGTTGAACTTCGGCACTGTTGTATTTCTGGGCTGATATTATCCTTTTGGGCTGATATTATCAAATACTAAGTGATAACAATTCAGTTGTATATGGAATTAATACAACCAATTAGGTTGCTTCTTTTAAGTTGGAATGGTTTTGTAGACCATACAACTCGCCACGCGTAAACAATTCAATTAAGTTTTATTAGTCGAACAGTTTTGATAGAGAGCTGTCTGTATTCCCGCATCCAGTTTCAAGCGTTAATAATTGATTAAATTACGATTTTAGTACCAGTCTCACTATAATTGAGAAACAATCAATTTTATTCAATTAATAATCGATTATAATCTCTCTTTTTAAATTCAAATTATAATTAATTATAATCCATTATAATCGAATATAATCGATTATTTATTCGTCTATTTTTTGATACATTTATAATTGATTATAATTGATTATATAATAATCCATTATTTTTATTCAAATTTCTATTTTATTAGTTTTGCACAAAAATCCATTATAATTGATTATAATTGATTATAATCCCTTTTGTTTGCCCATTTTTGTCTTCGAAGTTGCATCTAAATTGCTTATATTTTATGCTTTTTGTGTACGTTGGTTCCTATGAAAAATGAGAAAAATGTTTTTAAAGTTTTCCAATTAATTCAAATTTATAAGTTTTTTTTCATTTCTTCCCCATTAGAGTTGTTTTGTGATGCATATTATAAGCTTTTTTAAACACAAAAACATCAGCAGATTGATTTAGTTTCATGAATGATTCGGAAAATTTATTTTTCATCTACCGCGAGAACCTTTCCACTCATATGAAAGGTTCTCTATGAAACTTTTTTTTTCGTGGTATAACTTTGTGTTCAGATGAACCAAAGTGTTCAATAGATCTGTCTTTTAGAGATTTTCTTATTGACACAAAAAATAACCCATAAGATATATTTCGAATATAAGAAAATTTCGGCAAAATAAGAGGTTATAATCGCTTTTGTGTCTAATCGATTATAATTGATTTTAAGGGTTTTTAGTAAGAACTATAATCAATTATAATCAATTATAATCGATTATAAGAGATAATAATCTCTTGGAAAATATCATGATTATAATCAATTATAAATCCCTTAAAGACCCAATTTTGGTAATTATAATCGATTATAATTGTCAAAAAATCATCATAATAATCCGTTATAATCGATTATTTACGCCTAAACTTGGATGCGGGTTTAGACAACCGCGTATTTATACTCGTCAGTAAGCAGACAAAAACCATATTAAACAATCAGAGTCGAGATGAGAAAGCAAATTTACGAAATAAAAAATTAGTAACTATTCATTTCTTCCTTGTCTCGATTCTGATTGGTTGATATGGTATTTGTCTGCTAACTGACGATTCTGAATACGCGGTTGTCTAAATACCGCTACGTAACCGTTTTGATAGACTTGTTCCAGAGTGACTTTAAGTTTAAGTTAAAATAGCGTTGAACAAGCCGCCGCTGCGATCACACTTTGAAATTGACTTGCGCAAAAACATTCCAAGTATTTAATATTCCTCACTTCGAAAGTCGGAACAAAAAGACGGAGATAATTTTCTACAAAATCTGTCTGATAATTCAGAATTTTGAATATACACTTTAACAGATGTCGACAGACTTTACGCATAGCGAACACTATAAGATCAAAAGATGGCAACCTCTCGAAATTTGCAAGATTTGAGGCCATCATATTTTCAAAGAACATTTACATGCGTACTTATAAAAATCTAAGTAAACTTGGGTTTTGCCAGAAATGCGTCTGTGATCAACCTCTTTTCTTTTTTTTTCAAGAGGCTCAATTTCTTTCTAAAAATTTCTTCCATGATACGGTTTGACCTTCAGAACAAAATCTAAAAGTCAAGTAGCAGGGAAAAGATAAAAATTTTGAGCAATCAATTAGGTGCAATCAAGTTTTCATTGGGCATAATGGCTAATTTTTTGAACAAAAAATAGTCTCAGATTGAACCGAATTATTGCAGTTCATGAGTAGAAAATCACCAATAGCTTATAGAAATTTTTTTATTTGGCAGATACTATCGCTTCAATGTATACTTGTTGGTATTTTAAGATAATTAAACAAAATGTTTCGACTAATATTGATTGTTTGAGAAGCTAATAAACACATCCGTTTGGTTTTGTTGAGATTTGAACTTACATTTGAAGAAGCACTTAGTTGTGCTCAGTTTTTGAAAGTCATCGACGGATTTTGCTGAAAGAAACTAAACATAAAACAGGGATGATAAAGTTAATTTTGATTGTTCTGTTCCAATGCGGGTATCACTTGGTGGCAAGTGATGGCAATGGATTGGGACTGACACCTGTGATGGGATTCATGAACTGGGAGAGATTCAGGTGAGAGCCAAAACGACGCAACAAAAAATCAGGACAGAACCTTAAGGTCAAATTTGTTAAAGTATGATGGTTTTAACGTTCGCTTAATGGTTAAAAAAAACTGAGATCTTTCAAGTGTTTTTTCAGGTGTTTGTTAACTGAATTTAACAAGAAACTGAAAAAGTTTCTAAACAAAAACTGAATTTTTTTGCTGCAATGGTGCTTGATTAGATGTCAAACGGATTGCGTGAACTTTCCTAATGAGTGCATAAATGAGAATTTGTTCATGACGATGGCGGATGCGATGGTCACTTTTGGCTTGAAGGATGCCGGCTACACCTATCTCTCTATAGACGATTGCTGGCTCATGAAGAACAGAAGCGCAGATGGCCAGCTGGTAGCCGATCCGGATAGGTTTCCCAGTGGAATGAAAGCGCTTGCCGACTATATGCACGAGAGAGGACTCAAACTGGGTATGTCTGGGTTGGGATGGAATATTTTGCCGTTCGTTTTGACAAGTTTTGTTTTTGTCATTATGAAGGCTAAAAGTTTTTGAAAAATTACTTTCACCGTGAATTAACGATTGTCAAATTAAGAAAATAAGAAAATTTTGAGTAGCAGATTTGCACGGCTACTGTATTTTTTTATTCGATTACAAAGTTTTTGGAATTTAAAGGAATTTACGAAGACGTTGGCTACAAAACATGCGCTGGTTATCCGGGTAGCAAAGGACATATAGAGACAGATGCTCAGACATTTGCATCGTGGGGAATTGACATGCTCAAGTTCGACGGGTGCTATATTGATCCCTTGACCTCTGGACCAGGTTACAAGGAAATGGGAAAAGTCAGTTAACACTCACTTTGCTTTTTTTTTATAATTTATATTAATACTTTTGTTTTCAGGCTATAAGCAATACAAAACTGTATGTGTTTTTTTTCGCTTAGCATTTGAACAGTACCAGCCCTTTAGGACCCTGATCCGATGGCTATCACAGCTTAGTGAAGCACCGCCACAAAAGCTTTTCCAGGTGTTAAGTCCTTACTTTTATCAGTTTAAACTTTTAAACATATAATCGTTCTTAAAACCGGAAAAAAAAACTAAACAAAGGGTTTTATTCTAATGAAAAAAAAGAAAGAATGAAAACGATGAAAGCAATCATAAATAAATAAAAACGTAAAATTTTCTAAAGAAATTTTATAAAAACTGTTCTTGAAAAAACAAACAACTTTAACGCATGAACAGCGCAAAGCTTGCATAATAAATAAAAACGTAAGACTTTGTGAAGAAGTTTACATAAAAGCTGCTTTCGAAGAAACAATCAAGTTTAACGCATGAACAGCGCAAAGTTTGCATAATAAATAAAAACGTAAGACTTTGTGAAGAAGTTTACATAAAAACTGCTTTCGAGGAAACAATCAAGTTTAACGCATGAACAGCGCAAAATTTGCATAATAAATAAAAACGTAAGACTTTGTGAAGAGGTTTACATAAAAACTGCTTTCGAAGAAACAATCAAGTTTAACGCATGAACAGCGCAAAGTTTGCATAATAAATAAAAACGTAAGACTTTGTGAAGAAGTTTACATAAAAACTGCTTTCGAAGAAACAATCAAGTTTAACACATGAACAGCGCAAAGTTTGCATAATAAATAAAAACGTAAGACTTTGTGAAGAAGTTTACTTAAAAACTGCTTTCGAAGAAACAATGAAGTTTAACACATGAACAGCGCAAAATTTGCATAATAAATAAAAACGTAAGACTTTGTGAAGAGGTTTACATAAAAACTGCTTTCGAAGAAACAATCAAGTTTAATTTATGAACAGCGCAAAGTTTGCATAATAAATAAAAACGTAAGACTTTGTGAAGAAGTTTACATAAAAACTGCTTTCGAAGAAACAATCAAGTTTAACACATGAACAGCGCAAAGTTTGCATAATAAATAGAAACGTAAGACTTTGTGAAGAAGTTTACATAAAAACTGCTTTCGAAGAAACAATCAAGTTTAACGCATGAACAGCGCAAAATTTGCATAATAAATAAAAACGTAAGACTTTGTGAAGAAGTTTACATAAAAACTGCTTTCGAAGAAACAATCAAGTTTAACACATGAACAGCGCAATGTTTGCATAATAAATAAAAACGTAAGACTTTGTGAAGAAGTTTACATAAAAACTGCTTTCGAAGAAACAATCAAGTTTAACGCATGAACAGCGCAAAATTTGCATAATAAATAAAAACGTAAGACTTTGTGAAGAGGTTTACATAAAAACTGCTTTCGAAGAAACAATCAAGTTTAACGCATGAACAGCGCAAATTTTGCATAATAAATAAAAACGTAAGACTTTGTGAAGAAGTTTACATAAAAACTGCTTTCGAAGAAACAATCAAGTTTAACACATGAACAGCGCAAAGTTTGCATAATAAATAAAAACGTAAGACTTTGTGAAGAAGTTTACTTAAAAACTGCTTTCGAAGAAACAATCAAGTTTAACGCATGAACAGCGCAAAGTTTGCATAATAATTAAAAACGTAAGACTTTGTGAAGAAGTTTACATAAAAACTGCTTTCGAAGAAACAATCAAGTTTAACGCATGAACAGCGCAAAATTTGCATAATAAATAAAAACGTAAGACTTTGTGAAGAGGTTTACATAAAAACTGCTTTCGAAGAAACAATCAAGTTTAACGCATGAACAGCGCAAAGTTTGCATAATAAATAAAAACGTAAGACTTTGTGAAGAAGTTTACATAAAAACTGCTTTCGAAGAAACAATCAAGTTTAACACATGAACAGCGCAAAGTTTGCATAATAAATAAAAAAACGTAAGACTTTGTGAAGAAGTTTACATAAAAACTGCTTTCGAAGAAACAATCAAGTTTAACACATGAACAAAGCAAAGTTTGCATAATAAATAAAAACGTAAGACTTTGTGAAGAAGTTTACTTAAAAACTGCTTTCGAAGAAACAATCAAGTTTAACGCATGAACAGCGCAAAATTTGCATAATAAATAAAAACGTAAGACTTTGTGAAGAAGTTTACTTAAAAACTGCTTTCGAAGAAACAATCAAGTTTAACGCATGAACAGCGCAAAATTTGCATAATAAATAAAAACGTAAGACTTTGTGAAGAGGTTTACATAAAAACTGCTTTCGAAGAAACAATCAAGTTTAACGCATGAACAGCGCAAAGTTTGCATAATAAATAAAAACGTAAGACTTTGTGAAGAAGTTTACATAAAAACTGCTTTCGAAGAAACAATCAAGTTTAACGCATGAACAGCGCAAAGTTTGCATAATAAATAAAAACGTAAGACTTTGTGAAGAAGTTTACATAAAAACTGCTTTCGAAGAAACAATCAAGTTTAACGCATGAACAGCGCAAAATTTGCATAATAAATAAAAACGTAAGACTTTGTGAAGAAGTTTACATAAAAACTGCTTTCGAAGAAACAATCAAGTTTAACACATGAACAGCGCAAAGTTTGCATAATAAATAAAAATGTAAGACTTTGTGAAGAAGTTTACTTAAAAACTGCTTTCGAAGAAACAATCAAGTTTAACGCATGAACAGCGCAATATTTGCATAATAAATAAAAACGTAAGACTTTGTGAAGAGGTTTACATAAAAACTGCTTTCGAAGAAACAATCAAGTTTAACGCATGAACAGCGCAAAGTTTGCATAATAAATAAAAACGTAAGACTTTGTGAAGAAGTTTACATAAAAACTGCTTTCGAAGAAACAATCAAGTTTAACACATGAACAGCGCAAAGTTTGCATAATAAATAAAAATGTAAGACTTTGTGAAGAAGTTTACATAAAAACTGCTTTCGAAGAAACAATCAAGTTTAACGCATGAACAGCGCAAAATTTGCATAATAAATAAAAACGTAAGACTTTGTGAAGAAGTTTACATAAAAACTGCTTTCGAAGAAACAATCAAGTTTAACACATGAACAGCGCAAAGTTTGCATAATAAATAAAAACGTAAGACTTTGTGAAGAAGTTTACTCAAAAACTGCTTTCGAAGAAACAATCAAGTTTACCGCATGAACAGCGCAATATTTGCATAATAATTAAAAACGTAAGACTTTGTGAAGAAGTTTACATAAAAACTGCTTTCGAAGAAACAATCAAGTTTAGCGCATGAACAGCGCAAAATTTGCATAATAAATAAAAACAAAGGACTTTGTGAAGAAGTTTACATAAAAACTGCTTTCGAAGAAACACTCAAGTTTAACGCATGAACAGCGCAAAATTTGCATAATAAATAAAAACGTAAGACTTTGTGAAGAAGTTTACATAAAAACTGCTTTCGAAGAAACAATCAAGTTTAACGCATGAACAGCGCAAAATTTGCATAATAAATAAAAACGTAAGACTTTGTGAAGAAGTTTACATAAAAACTGTTTTCGAAGAAACAATCAAGTTTAACACATGAACAGCGCAAAGTTTGCATAATAAATAAAAACGTAAGACTTTGTGAAGAAGTTTACTTAAAAACTGCTTTCGAAGAAACAATCAAGTTTAACGCATGAACAGCGCAATATTTGCATAATAATCAAAAACGTAAGACTTTGTGAAGAAGTTTACATAAAAACTGCTTTCGAAGAAACAATCAAGTTTAGCGCATGAACAGCGCAAAATTTGCATAATAAATAAAAACATAGGACTTTGTGAAGAAGTTTACATAAAAACTGCTTTCGAAGAAACACTCAAGTTTAACGCATGAACAGCGCAAAATTTGCATAATAAATAAAAACATAGGACTTTGTGAAGAAGGTTACATAAAAACTGCTTTCGAAGAAACAATCAAGTTTAACGCATGAACAGCGCAAAATTTGCAGGACCACGAGCATGACCAAAAATTGAAATATTAGGACAATATATTCCACTTTTTATTGTAACAACCCGATGGTTCCTCCGTTCATAAGGGCTTTTCGTTTGGTTAGTATAGCACTGAATTAATAAAAACTGTCTCAACCAATGGGGCGGGCGTCTCAAGACTGTCTCATATTTTCTAAGGGATCGGGCGTTATATTGTCAGGCAAATAGGTTGACTTTGGATGATTTGAGAATCGCGGAGAGATCACCGATGCATATGTTTAGTTCATACACCGTAAGCCTGTTAACCCCTAGCGATTGACACCTGCATTATTCTTTGAATTCAGGTCTGAGATATTTTTGTCCCCTTAACAGCACTATTGATTGTTTTGGTTCCATGCTTTAAAAACTTACTATTATGGTACACAATTCTATCTAGGCATTGAATAATACTGGCAGGGATATTTTGTACCTCTGCGAATGGCCCCTCTATGATCCAGTGGCTGATTACGCCGAAGTAGCGGAGACTTGCAACTTCTTCAGGAACTACGACGACGTGCAAGACAGTTGGGATAGCCTTTTTGGAATCATTAAACACTACGCAAACAATCAGGTATTGTTTTGTTCATGCCACATTAACAAATGGGATGCGATTTGGATTAGATTTGAACGGATTTAAACCGCACATCACCACGAACCCATAAATACTGCTTTTTGGCAACCATTTATGATTGATTCAAAAGGCGCCTTCGGAGTCAATTCATTTTTACGGGGATTGTGAAATAACAAAAAGTACCAAAACTTACAAAACCGTTGGCCAAAATTTTCAAAAAGCGACCAAAAATTTCATTTTTGAATGATTTTTCCATGGAGTTTTCTGCATGGTGGAATTTTCTGCTGGCGGTTTTCGTTATTTGTTCTGAAAATCACTTTAGCCGACCAAAAAAAACATTACATTGCAAAATTGTCGTTATTCAGTTGGCCAATTTGTACATGAAATCCAAAACAGAGAAAAGAAGGCATTTTGCAGATTCCAAAACAGAGCATTCTTGTCTTTGTTCTTTTTTGTATTGGAAAGATGGGTGAAACTGGCGCGAAATTTAGCAGTAATGGATACTATTCAATTTAACCTCACTAAGACATTTGCAATGGAAAAAACCAAAAAAACTTCTATATGGTCCCTGCAAAAAAAAGAAGGTTACGAGATCTATAATGAGACTGCTCGTATCAGGGCTACTGAGTGATCCGATTGCACTGCAACTGGTCTGGAATATGTTCCATTTTTTGGTCAGTGACGTTTTTTAATCGTAAATCATAAGCAAGACTACCGTTAAATCAAGTCATAGTTTTGAATGTTACAATTGCCCCTTAATTGGTACCGAATAAGTTTTGCTTGCCGCTAATCAACTTGGAACAACTTTGTAGTAAAAACAAGACTAATCAAATATGAAGGCAAAGCCCTGAATGTTTTGACTGCCCTCTATCATCGATCACAAGCTTTTTGAATTTAAAAAAATCTCGAAATGTTCAATGAAATGAAAAAATTTAGAATACTTATAAATATTTTATTTCCTAAATGCACCCCCTACAAGCTGTATAAAGCACCAAAAGATATATTTTGCGTAACTTATTTAAAAGAGCAACATGCTTGCCTGAGTTCAATTTGGAAGGATTTAAACTGCCGGTTACGCTTTAATGGACCGAAACATATTGCGCGTTGATAGGCCGAAGTATATCACGACAAAAATTAGTCGTCTAATTAGACAAACATTCAAAGCCTTATAATTTAGTGAAAACGTCATAGATAAATTATTTACATTTGAGTTTTAGATAAAATATTGACTGAGTTGGAAAAACCACCCGAATATAAAAATTCTGCACTTTTTGCGAAAGTTGGAACAATAATTTGGGTTACGCATTTTAGAAACAAGCGTTACGCTTAACCAAAAAACGCGCATAAGTTAGTCCAGGGCATGACCAAATTGACAAACATCTCAAGCAGAAAAGTTCTGCACTTTCTTCGATAGTCGGAACAATTATATTTTTAAAATTTAAAAAATTGAATTTCTGATTTTTTCTCTTAACAGCCAATTTCAAATAGTGAGTGTTATTATTTGATTCGTGTGTGGAATTAATTTGAACAATTTTATCTCAATTCAATTTGAAATGATTTTGAAAATGTAAGGTTTTGACTTGCCCAAATAGTTCGTGTTTACACACTCAGCATCATAGAAAATTATCAGAGAGCATATATTAGTCCAAAAACATTGCTAAATTGGCATTTTTAAGCTCTGATTCCCAGAAACTAATTTTAAAATAAAACAGGCAAAACTTATTTTTAAATTTTAAATCACAGGGTTTTAAAAATTTTATCGGGTATCAACAGTTTTTGTTGAAAACTATAGTTTTGATCAACGAAAGTGGTCTCGAAAACCATAAAAAGTTTTTTCTGCAAAAGTCGGAGCAATAATTTTTTGTATAAATAAACTGTCATCAAGAGCGGAAGTCTACGGCTTGAAAGTACTTAATGAGGTCTCTACACCTTTTTATTGTTTCAGAACAAATTTGCCAAACACAGTGGACCTGGACATTTCCTCGACCCTGATGAGTTGCTTGTGGGCAACTCTGGGACTTCTTTTGGACAACAGAAGATCCAGATGGCAATGTGGTGCATGTGGAGTGCCCCTTTGCTGGTATCTTCTGACCTCCGATTCATAAGTGATGCTGCACTGAGTCTTCTTCTGAATCGATACCTCATCCGGATCAATCAGGACCCCCTGGGCGACTTCGCAAAGCAAGTTATCAGTGATTCCAATGGTGCTATTCAAGTCTGGCTCAAAAAATTAGGAGACGCTACTTTCGGAACATACGCGATCTGTAACTTCCACGCGAAATCAGATGATCAGACTGTTTTACTGAGCTACAGCTTGAAGGATTTGGGAGTCAAGGAACCCGAGAGTGGTGAAACGTTTACCCTGATTGACGCTTTTACAGGGACAAATTTTGGAGATGGCCCTGTATCGTGGGATGACAAAATCGATCTGTATGTTCCAGATTTTGATGCGGTTGTTCTTATTGTAAAACTACAACAAAAACTGAATTCTCCAATGAGGGTTTCGCAAAAAATTGAGGAATGGTTTAAGCCGGAGGTTGTTTGGAATCGACGTTAACCAAAATTAGCTGGAACAAAAAAAAAATCGTCAGATTTTTAATCAAAAAATTCGTTTCTCGAAAAACTGTAAAAATACATTCATTAAATTTCTATCAGAAAAAGTTTTGCAATTATAAACAAACTATGCCAAATGATAAGATACTTCCCTCGTAATTTTACAATATAAACTTAATAAAAAACTGTTCATGCAGCAATTTCCATCACAGAGATTTAGTACAAGTTTCTTTACTTGTTCATGCTTAAACGTTTACCGCAGTTACGAACATGAAAAATCTGGGCGGGGAAGGGGGGTGGGCTGTTAATGGAAAAAGCGGAAAACAATAATTTGCTACAAAAAAAAACAAAATTTGTAATGGATTATGAAAAAAATACTCATTGTTACACTGGAAATACTTCTGACTGACACATTTAGATCCAAAAACTCAATGGAAAGCATGATTTGAGTTTTAAGTTCGAAAGTTTTTTTCTGAGATTTTTGGTTTTTGAATAAAAATAGTTTTTTGACTCTTGGGCTTGTTGTATGAGTTATAAATCCATTTTAAACATAAACCTGTGATTATCAAGAACCCAATTGACTACAAAAAGCTCCTAAAGATTTTCAGGAAGAAAACATCAAGATTTTGACATATATGGTCGTGGGAGGTAAGTGATGCGACCAAAAGTTTTGTAGTTCGGCCCAGCTTCTTAGGTCGCACAAAAACTTAAACGCAGTTAGATGATCAGATGCAAAGATTCCCACAATAAAAAAAAGACATTTTACAAAATTTCTTGCGAAAATGGTTTTAAAGATTTAAGATTTTTATTGCATGCTTGACAGGAGACTTCTGCAATCATTGGATGATTCAGTATGGCATAATTTATTTCGATGTAGAAGAAACTTCTGCTCAGGAAAGCATTAGCACAAACTATCAGGCAAAAAGCATGAAAAGTGCTTAATATTACATGTAATTAATATTTAAAATGTTGTCGGGATTATTGTTTTTTGGGTCGCGCTCAGCCGCTGCACCCAACTTTTTAGCGCAGGTGGTTAAGCGTGAAAAGTGATTAATATTAAAAGTAATTAATATTTAAAATATTGTCGGGATTTATGTTTTTTGGGTCGCGCTCAGCCGCCGCACCAAATTGTTTTAGCGCAGGTGGTTAAGCGTGAAAAGTGATTAATATTAAAAGTAATTAATATTTAAAATATTGTCGGGATTTATGTTTTTTGGGTCGCGCTCAGCCGCCGCTAAAATTGTTTTAGTCGCAACTTATTTTTTTTATTCGTCGACGGCCGCGAGTTAACCTCTGTGCACAGCAACGGTTGTGATCTATCTTCTACTTTGAGTAGCAAAAAATGCGAATTAAGTGGCCTATTTCGGCTCGATATCCACTGCTAGAAATAACAATGCTTCAGTAATTTTACTGTAGCTTATAGTGCTAAAAAGGTTCAAACCAAAAGCTAATGTTTAAAAAAAAAGAGTTCAATAACTGTCCATACTATGGTTTGAACCGTGGTTTGAAATTATACGTGCTCAGAAGTAAGCTTAAATTCAGCCATAGTTTGTTTATCAAATTTTCAGCAATGCCTTGAGTCAGAGATTGATATACGTAGCCTTTACGGAGTAATCGGAATGATATAGAATCGGAATGATATAATTGGCGGATGTTTAACAAACATCCATGCACAAACCGCAATACCTTGAAACCAAAATTACATCAAAAATTGTTAATTACATCAGAATTACATTACAATTGCATAACAACAGTGACAATCTGTTCTTATGTGACATAACAATTTAAATTTTTGACTAGTTGGAATGGTAGTCTTAATTTTTCTTTTTTGGTAATTTCTACAATTGGTAATTTTTGACCGCGTTCGAGGTATGTTTCGCTCGAAGTATGTTTCGACCGTGCTCGAGATAGGGTTCTACTTTTTGTACAAGAGAAACCCCTGTCTCGACTAATGTTTTTTGGTCGAGCGCTGACATGTGTTTGACTTTGAAAGTCGAAACATAAAGTGAGTACCTTGACTCATCAGATTGCGACGATTGTCCATTGTTTACGGATTAGACTGTCAATTTGGCTGTCATTTCGCAACATATGCAAGGAAAATATAAACAGCTTTACATAGGCGTCGCAAAATAATTGGGATACTTTTCCAGATGGTTTAAAATTTTCTTTTGAAAAACTTAACCACAAATCAAAATTAAACTGGAAACATATAGAAAGCCTAAAACTTTACGAAACTTTTTTGATAGACAGAACAAAAAAACTTGCCAAAGTTTGAGTGACAAAGTGACGCTGATAATGTGAATAGTAATTGTCTATATTTGTGAAAGTTCCAATGATTTTTCTGCGAAAAATGATCCTATACAAAATGAAAAACCCCTTTGTCTAAATTTAATTTTATGCATTTTTAATCAACCTTATAAAATTAAGGTTTTGTTTCGGCACCTTCTATAAAAACTCGACTTCATCCGTTTTTCTTTTAGAAAACAGCACTCAAACAATCTGTATATGCAAAAATGTAATGTTGTACAACCAAGTAGACGGAAAAAAACAATTGATTGAAGAATTCGTGGAAAATCAACGGTGATATTTAAAAAGCAATGTTCGACTCTTCATGAAAGTTCCTATGAAATTTTTCTACAAAAATTATCTCATACAAAATGGAACATCTCTGAATATTTTTTGTCAAAACTAATGTTTTTTGCTCTGTTTAAGTTTGCTGTAGATAAAACTAGGATTTTTTTTGGCAACCTTTATCAGGAATCTAGTTGATCAAGCTTGTTTAAATATTGGAACAAATTGATTCGTAGATGCTCAAATTGTATTTGCCTGAAACCAATTGGTTGCAAAAAAAGCCCCCAAACTCTCAGGCGTTTCTATTTACTAGTTGATTACTACATATGTCTCAAATGAGTTGAATATCAAAATAATTAAAAAAGTGTTCTTATTTGTAGGCTTTGATCATGTATTTTCCGCGATGGACCCAACTGATTATATAAAGACCCTAAAAGTTTTCGGGGCTGGAAACATCCAGAATTTGAATAAGGGTGCTAACTTTAGTAACGCTGACCATTCGTGTTCTTGTTTGTTTCAGCAGTACGCGGGTCGAAATCTTTGCCTTTAGTGGCGACCATATAATTTCGCGTGCAAAATTTCGTAATCCGACTCAGATTTTTTGGTCGCGCAAAAATGCGACTTAAACGCAGTTGGATGATCAGTTATAAAAACTCTCGCAATCAGGAAAATTGTTTTTAACTTTTTTTACTGCGAAACCGATTTAAGATTTCAATATATATTTTTGCAAGTTTGACCAAAAACTTTTACTATCATTGGGTACGAAAAAAAGTAATTGAGCCATGTGTATTTTTTTGTTCTGGTAAAAATTACCAGAAAATTTCAGGCGAAACACAGAAAAAGAAATTAATATTGAAAGTATTTAAGAATAAAAGTATAGTAAAATCTGTCTTTTTGGATCGCACTGAGTCGCACCAGTTTTTTATCAGCGCGAGTTGCAACTTTTTTTCTGTTGGTTTGCGATAACTGCGAGTTACCCTTAATGAAAAGCAGCTGTAGTGGTCCATCAATTTTGAGTGGCAATGTTTGCAAATTCAGTCACCTACTTCGGCTCGATATCAACTGTTAGAAGTTATAATGATGGGGTTTAAAATAGAGAGTTGAATACCTGTCGATACTGACAATTTGTAGCGTGGTTTCAAATAAAAAGTGTTCAGAAGTAAGTTTAAACTCAGCCGTAGTTTGTTGTTCAAGTTTTTAGCAAGCCTTGAACCAATTACCGATAGACGTAGCCTTAAGCAGGTACCGGAATGATATATTCGCAACAAACCTCCTTATACATTAACCGCAATATCTTGAAACCGAAGTTACATTAGAGAACGTTACTTACATCACAATTACGTAACAATTGCTTGCCACCGTATATTCATCTTATCTGAAAAATCAATATAAACTGAAACGTCAATCAAATTTTTTTAAGCAGAGAGCTGGGGGGGTGAGGGGTGGCGGACGCCTTCTTCTGGGATTTGACCCTCTCGCCAAGCAAAGGGCATCGCTTTGGTTTTTATTTTTGGCATTCATTTGAGGCCTACAAACCCTATAAATTTTCTTAAAGTGCCTTCGACGACATTATTAATTATTTCTGAAGGAGAGCTCCCGCCAAAAAATGCAACTTTTTGGTTAAAGTTTTCCAAAAAGTTCCCAAAAACAGCATTTTGACCTGTTTTGTCATAATGTTGCCTGCGACGCAAACTTTTTGGTCAAAATCGGGTCTTTTCAGTGTTTCGGCAGCTTTTGCAAAATCAATTTTGGTCGACTTAAAAAAATATCGACCGAATTTCTAAAAAAATTTTTGAACCCCCCCCCCCCCCCTCAAGAAAAAACTAGATCCGCTCATGATCAAAAGTTTAAAGGCAAATGTCGATTCTTTGTGATATTCTAATGAACTTTTCGACACTAATTATCTCACACAAAATCAATACCCTTTGAGTATTTTTTGTCTAAAATTAATTTTCTATGCTTTTCGAAGTTGACCTTAAAAATGTTAAGATTTTTTTTGAAATTGACCTTAAAATTTTAGGCCTCTATCAGAACTCGAATTCATCCAGCTTGTTAAAAAACACCGAATACATAGATTTGTTCATTCAAAAATTGTATTTGCACTTAAAAACTAGTTGCAATCAAATCTCTAACTTCTTAGGAGTTTTTTTTTGAATAGCTGATTACTCCATACGTCTCAAATGAGTTGAAAACGAAACTACAGTGCTGATTTACATTATCCGGACAAAATGAACAAAAACGTGAATTTTCAAACACGTTTTTCTCAAACTGAGTTTAGATTAGACAAAAACTGAAAAGGACAAAAGTTGCTTAGAATTGCATCAAAATTGATATGGTGCATTTTTTTCTCAGAAATTCTCAACAAAAATTTTCCCTCAAAAAAGAGTCATTTTTTCAATTAATCAAAAATTACGCTGAAACTACTTTTTTAATTGATGAGAAATATATATCACAAATAGCGTCCTACACAGTCCAACAAAGTTTTAGAAGGCTTAAATCTCCAAAAACTTGAGCAAATTGTTTAAAATTTGTTTTTGAGCAAAGATTTTGGGCTTATATAGTAAAAATCAAGTTTCTTGACTATCAAGCAAAAGCATTTTCTCTTATAAAGGATTTTGGAGATTTAACAGCCTTCTCGAATTTTGTTGGGCTGTGTAAGAGGCTTCTTGTGGTATATATTTTTCATCAATTAACAAAGTAATTTCAGTGTATTTCTTGATAAATTGGAAAAAAACAAAAATGACCCATTTTTGCGGTAAAATTTTTGTTGAGATTTTCGGAGAAAAAAATTGCACTCGGAGAAAAAATTATTTCTGATGAAATTCTAAGCAACTTTTGTTCTCTTCACTTTTTGTCTAATCTTAGCCCACTTTGAGAAAAACGTGTTGGAAAATTCAGGTTTTTTTTCGTTTTGCCCGGATAATTTAAATCGGCACTGTATTTGAAAAGTTGCTCTTTTTTTAGGCGTTATCCATGTGTTATCCGTGATGTAAGGTTTTCAAGTCTTTGCGAAACCAATATTCAATTGAGATTTATGGCTTTTGATCAATCAAGTTACCGTATAATTATGCAAATATTTTACACTCAGATCTTCGGAATTATCTTCGAACACCAGACCAATAGGCTTTTGAATAGTTACGAGTTTATCAATAGTATTTGTTTTCAAGTAAATTTTTCAATTTCAATGCACGCCATGCAAATAATTGAAAAATTTTACGTCTTATAGGCGTTTATAGAAAATATTCATATTATGTCCACTAGACAAAAGGTTAGATGCAAAAACTTAGTGACTTCTGCGATATATAACTTTTTCGGGAACAGCTGAGCTTCCGATCTTTTTCTGTTGAACGATCCACACAATTGCATCGAATGCAGCAACGTACACTTTAATTTGAGTCTGCCAGAAAATTGGAACTGAAACCAGTGTATTTCCTGTGAAGGCATCGGTTAGAAGAAAGCCAAATCCTTTAGGTGGCTGGTCAATTCCTAACGACTTCAGTGAGAAATAGAGAAGAATTGTTTGGTCATCAGATTTAGCGTGAAAAGTGCAGATAGCGTATTCTCCAAAAGTATGGTCCCCAAGCTCTTTGAGCCATACTTGAGTTGCGCCATTCGCTTCACTCATGACCTGTTTAGCCATTTGTCCGAGGGGGTCCTGATTGATCCGGATCAAGTATCGATTCAGCAGAAGACTGAGTTCTGCTTCATTTATGGATCGGAGGTCGGAAGATACAATCAACGGGGCACTCCACATGCACCACATTGCCATCTGGATCTTCTGATGTCCAAAAGAAGTTCCAGGGTTTCCAACCATTAACTGGTCCGGATCGACGAAGTGCCCTGGTCCGCTGTATTTTGCAAATTTATCCTAAAATTTTGATCATAATCCCTGTGGTTTGTGCATTTGTGCTTTGAAAATGCAGCTCTCGTTGAACGTTTAATAACTTTTCATCTCATTCTAAATTTGTGTTCAAAGCGATATAAATGCATTATCAGACTGGTCAGAAACTTGATCATTTTATTTTCAAGCCACAAACTTATCACCATACATTTTATGAAATTATAAGTTTACAATTTAGTGCGGCTTGGGAGAATACCGAAAAGGCATCAACCTGTGTGGTGGTTATGCCATTTAAAAACCTCATTTTAGTGAAAATTGTCTGAAATATAAGACCAGTTAATGGCTTACATTTGACGCAAACAGCCGGTTGAGTGAATAGTTATTTTATCAGATAATAAAAATAAATCTGATTTTCATGATTTTTTCCGTTGTATATGATTTCTATTTTAAAATATAATTGGATCAGCTGCAATGCGTACTAAAAGGGACTATTAAAAAAGTACTGGCTACACGAATACAACCGGATATTTAAAAAATAGCTGCTATGCAGCTACCGGTAACATTTTATTGTTTCGACCACTTTGCAAAGCGGAAACGATTTGGCGTCGGGTCTTTGGTTTTTTTTGGCGCAAAATTAGTTTTTATGCCGCATTTTTAGGCTACTACCGAGTTTTTTCTAACAATTCTTTTAACTTTCAGCAATGATATCTGTGAATACATGCACACCAACTGTTTTCGGGGGCGGATTTAGGGGTTGGGAGGCGGAGGTGGACACCCTCTCGCTCAGGGATTATTTCATGACCTCCATTTTTGGCAAGCAACCCTAAAATTTTACTAAAGACAATTTCGGCGTCAATATATACTATTTTTACAGGGGAGCACGCGCCAAAAAATAGGCGAATTTTGGCAAAAAAAAATCAAAAAGTGCCCAAAAATTTGATTTGGTCGACCTTAAAAATTTCAATTTTCTTTAAAATCCGCCCCCCCCCCTCTCAAGAAAATCCTAGATCCGCCCCCGAATGACTACCCTTGTCATTTTATGATTAGATTATCAAAAAGCAAACGTTTGGTATACCTGATTAGCTGCATAATACATAATTTTCTGGAAGATACCGTGCGCGTCCCAGCAGTCATCCATGTCGTGGAAGTTTCTATACTGATTACAGTATAAGTTAACTTCAGCGTAGCTCACATTTGCATCATAATAAGGCCATTCGCACACGTATAAAATATCCCGGCCGGTATCAACGAGTGACTTTGCCATCTTTTTATAGCCTGCTCTCAACCCTTCGAGATCAATGTTGCATCCATCGAACTTCAGCATGTCTACACCCCATGAAGCGAATAATTGTGCGTCAGTGTCTTCGTAGCCTTCACTTCCAGGATATCCATCGCATGTGATTGACCCGACATCTTCATAAATACCTAATTAAAAGCCAGAACCACCTTCAGTGGCGTGCACAGAAATTTTTTTTAGAGGGGCGGTTTTTCGAAAACTTTTACAAAATTTTTGAGACTAATCAGCCAGAAATGTTATACCAAAGGGAAGACCCTGAAAACCAGAATTGAGGGGGGGGGCAGGGGTCCCCCCCTTCCGGCACGCTACTGACCACATTAGTACCAATTTTGTTTAGCATATGAAATGAAATGCTTTGTTTGTCTCGAGTTGTTTCGAATATTGAAATGCCACGAAAGCCAAATGTAAAAAACAAATCCAAGAAGTTTAAAAAGTATTTTTTATTAAATTGATTATGTTGGTCAACATTTTTAATACAGGCCAACGGGTTTAAATAGCTCCGATCAAGTACTGGGAAGTATCTTTGTATTAATGTGTTTTTTTTTTCACGTCAATAAACATCATTTAGGCTCAGTGATTTATCGTTCATATTGAAACCATATTTCATCATGGCCTGAGTTGCAATAAAATATTTGCAAAAATGACTTACATTTTTAGTTTTTCGCTATCGCAAAGAGCTAATGTGTCAATCTCCCATCATACCATGAAAGTTTTTGGCCTTTATGATACAAGAAACTATTTCTATGAGTAGAAGCGACTCCGTCAATCTTACAGCCCCTTTTTTCAAGACCCACATCAGCCATTCAAAAAAAAAACAAGCTCTTCTTAGGCCAGAACGCTGTTTAAAAAAGATAAGAACTGCAATGTTCATGGCTGCAATCATACCCAGTTTCAGTCCTCTCTCGTGCATGTAATCAGCCAGTGCCTTTATTCCACTGGGAAACCTATCCGGATCGGCTACCAGATGGCCATCTGCGCTTCTGTTCTTCATGAGCCAACAGTCGTCTATGGCGAGATAGGTGTAGCCGGCATCCTTCAAGCCAAAAGTGACCATCGCATCCGCCATCGTCATGAACAAATTCTCATTTATGCACTCATTAGGAAAGTTCACGCAATCCGTTTGGCATCTAAATGCAGAAAAACATTTTGAAGTTTAAGATGCTATCTGAGTTTCTCTGCGAAATTAAGTAGAAGTTACAAATCAAGAACGGATTTGAGGCGTGGCGGGGACGCCCCTTCCGTAGGTATTTGAACGCTTCTACCAACCAAAGGGTCCCTTCTGAGCTATTTTACGAGAGTCTATTTAGGTCGACTCTTTTGCGTCAATATATCCTTAAAGTTCAGCAAAAGTTCACGCCAAAAAACAGCTTTGAGCAAGAGAATTTCCAAAAAGTTCCCCAAAATCCGCCCCCTTCGCAAAAATTCTCAATTCGCCCCTGTACAAGTTTTATACTTGTAGTATTATCCCGTGCTGGGATGTTGTGCCCATTTTTTAAGGTGCTCATTTATAGGGACAAAGCCACTATCGTATTGATTTCATCTTAGCTTAATCAATACGAACGGGCAGTTTTAGAGCGATGTTTGAACAAAATTGGGCGTTTTGTTCTTTCAAATGTACCTGAATCTTTCCCAACTCATGAACCCCATTGTGGGGGTTAGCCCCATTCCATTATTCTCAGTAGATCCCAGCTGAACAAATAGTACCATGAACACAATTGGTATCATGATCAAATTGAAAAGCTGCGTACAAATGACAATAACTAGTTTTATATTGAATCTGGAATGAACAATTAAATCTAACTACTGTAGAAGTTTCAGCGTATTATCAAAGTAATCTCTGATGAAATAGTTTCAATATATAATACCAGGGGGTGTGGATCACCCAAGTACTTATAGCTGCACGGCTGAACCTAGCACACGCACACATCTTTTATAGAAACAGTTTCATTAGAGATTATTATTATAGAGCTTCATTAGAGATATTAGGCTCAGATTTCTAGTTGATAATATAAACGAGAAACTTTTTTACAACCAAAAATGCGATAGGAGTCGAGCTCGTCTGATAAGTAGAATATTGAATGGTTTTGTGGGAACGAACTTTTGTCAATAGTTTTTCTTGTTCATATTAAGCATTTCACGCGTCGTCATTTAACTACTAAGGCTGAGAGTTAACAAGACTGCTCGTATCAGGGCAAAACCCGGGATGTTCCGACTGCTTTTTAAGGTCTATGGAGCATTAATAACATGAAAAACTTGAATGTAAAAAAAAATAAAATAAAAATTAAAAAAAAATTGAGATTTTTTTGTGAAAACATCCCCCCACACACCATATTGAGTACAAAGTGATAGATTTTGCTCCTATTAACAAATCGATTATAGCATATAGGCTTCCTTGAACCAAATTGGAACGATTTTTAAGACGGATTCAATCTTCGCTTACGCGTTAATAGCGCGAAATGTATCGCGCGTTAATTGTACCAAATTGGCCAAAATGGCAATCTTTAAGCCCCCATAACTTTACGAAAAAGATCAGAGGTGAAACATCTTTTCAAAGTTAAGCTCAAGACAACAATAGCTTTCGAATGATAAAAAATTCCGTCAAAAATGGATAGATAAAGTGGCTAGTCGAAATTTGTCCGAAGAAAAAAAAACCACCCAAGCGAAATGTTCCGTTATTTTCGTTACGGAAGTCGGAACCAAATCAATGGAAAGGCTCAACATAATTCAACCAAAAAGTAAATCGTCAGTATCAAAAAGAACAAGACTGCTCGTATCAGGGCGAAGCCTTAAATGTTCCGACTGCCTATTAAGGTTTATGGAGCCGTAATAACATAAACAAATTAAAAGTAATAAAATAAAATGAAATTTTTTATGAAAGTCATCCCCAACACGCGATATAAAAAACAAAAAGATAATTTTCGCTACTTGTAACAAATCAATTATGGCAAATAAGCTTCATTAAACTAATTGGAACGATTTCTAAGACGGATTAACTCTCCGCTTACGCGTTAATAGCGCGAATTATATCGCGCGTTAATTGTCCCAAATTGGCCAAAATGGCAACCTTGAAACCCCCATAGATTTATGAAAAAAGATCACAGGTAAAACATTGTTTCAAATCTAAGCTGAGGACAACAATACCCTTTGAATGATAAAAAAATGAAGTCAAAAATGGCTAGTTAAAAGCCAAAGTTTGTCTGAAGAAAAAAAACCCACCCCGAGCACAACTATTCCGTTACTTTCATCAAAAGTCGGAACAATAACTCTTATGAGACAAAATTATTGACCAAGAAGCTCAAAATGGTATACCTATTTAAACTCCCAAAGAGGGCTTTTTATGCACTTAAGTTATTCATTACTACATCTTGAAATAGAATTTTCGAGTCAGATTGACTAATCTGACTGACCAATTTTTCAGCACCCCAAACGCCATATAAACTGCAAAAAGATAGATTTCGCTCTTTTTAACAAAATAATTAATCAAATAAGCTTCTTACAACCAATTTGGAACGATTTCTAAGACGGAATAAATATCTGCTTACGCGTGAATAAAGCGAAATATATTGCGCGCTAATTGTCCAAGATTGGCCAAAATGGCAATCTTTAAGCCCTCTTAGCGTTACAAAAATGATCACAGGTGAAATATCTTTTCGAATTTAAAATTAGGTATACAAAAACTTTTTGCTTACCAATACCAATATATAAGAAAAATAATGTCAAAAATGGCTAGTTAAACAGTCGAAATTATCTGAAGAAAAAAAACCACCTCGAGCACAATTATTCCGTTACTTTCGTTACGAAAATCGGAACAATAAAATCTAAAATTAGGCTAATAACCGCGCAATTATGATAAGTGCGTGCTGGTTGCTTGCATAAGACATGAAACATGACAATGTCTAGTAAATGGCGCTCTGTTGAGCCTTTAATCCAATTAAAGAATAATGTAGATTTGCTTTACAACTGACTATCTAGAACCAACCGTAAAATCCCCGAACCAGTTCAGGGGAGATTAAGTAGCGGTTTTTGAGAATGAACTTTGTGGGCAAACTATATTGATCTAATTATATAAAAAAAGATTAACCGACAAAAATTATGAATAAAAACTTATATACGTAATAATTCGTTTAAGTTAACTATTACAAATGAAAATTTTTTTGCGAGCTTCATTGAAAAACGCAATCAACTTTCAAAATTAAGACATGGCTAGAGGAGGTGGTTCTACGGTTCTACGGTAGGTCCTTGAGGGGGGAAGAGGGGAATTGTGCGACTGTGCCAATATCTACACTTAATCCAACGGTGATGTCTCCTATGAAGAGATATGCAGGCTACACCCTTCAGATCTTAAGTGAAAGTTGTATCTATCAGTTTCATTTACAAAAGTAAAATCACTCCAAAGAAGGTTACAGCCAAAGCATCAAACAAAACTTCTATTGTGGTCCAAATTTTTGCCCAGGGAACCAATGCAAATATGATTTGCATCCAATGCAAAAAAAGGCAATTTCTATCTGAAAATTAACCTTGTCAACTGAGTTTTCAAATGTTACAAAGTCTACTTTTATATACTTATACAAAAAATTCTTATTTCAAGATAAATTTAACTGCTTTAAAACGAAGAACTTCTCCATGAAAATTAGACTAAACAGATACTTAAAAGGATAGCTAGATTATTTCAAATCGAATCGATATCTAACTAACAAGATCTCACGTTGAAAAATTGAACTCCTGATTTCGGAATTGCTACCATCAAGAACATTTTGCAACAAATTCAAGTCCATATTTGAGTCAAAACTGCTTTTCCAAAAAAAAAATTAGATTTTTAAATGCACCTGTTACGTATTTTAATATGTTTACTTGTTAAAGCAAATACCTGTCTCGCCATGTTCAAATTATTTTCCAAAAGTTGACAATAACTGAACAGCTTGAACACAATTGATTCGGCTGTAAAAAACGACTTTGCATCAGAAGCAATCTTATCGGAGCAGTAGAACCTTTTGAGTTCGTTTTAACTAGTTTAACATCGAACCTCATTCTATCGGAAAAGTTTTATTTTTGAAAGGTTAAGCAACATTTTGATACCACATCACCATCTATTGATCATTAGGGGCGTGAATTACGAGGCCTTACTGTGCATTTTGTGAATTGTAAGCTGATTCCTCAACAAGGACACTCCCATTGTTTTTATTTTGGTATTTCATTTTCTTCATCGTTCCGACAAAAATTTAACATGCTTAAAGACTTGTTTCTGGAATCCAGGAACATATAAACACAAAACTGTGCGCCTATCCATTCACAATTTGGACTCGTAATTTGAGACTTAAATCCTCAAAATGTTGCCATAGGTACACATGTTTGACAGTACATCCTGTTTTGAACTCGAATCAATAGAGAAATTTTAAACTCGATTCAGTAATTTTAAACCAAACAGTAGAAAATTAGTTTAACTACATGCAATAACTTGCTTGCCCAATTTTTGTTTTATAAATTGGAATTTTTTGATTGAAAAATAGTCGGAGTAGGAGAGAATAAATTTCTCAAAATTATGTATATCCATTTTTTCACGTTTGTCGTTTATCATTTTTATACTGAGTTATGTTGTTGTTTTTTTTGCACGCGTAATTCCTGAAGCAGCTTTGTTGGGGTGGGTGCGCTAGTTGATTATAGTGATTTGAGCACCAAATTAATCAAGACTCCTCGTATCCGACAGCCTTTTATGGTCTATGGGGCAGTTATAGCATAAAAAAAATAAATGTAATACAATGAAATGTAATTTTTTTTTCTAAAATTTGAATTTTTTTTTGTGAAATTCAGCTTGCCAAACGCCATATAAAAAACAAAAGGATAGATTTCGCTCTTTTTATCAAAAAATTACTCAATAGGCTTCTTGCAAACAATATGGAAAGATTTCTGAGACGCATTAAATCTCCACTTACGCGTTAATAGCGCGAAATATATCGCGCGTTAATTGTACCAAATTGGCCAAAATTGCAATCTTTAAGCCCCCATAACTTTACGAAAAAAGATCAGAGGTGAAATATTTTTTCAAAGTTAAGCTCAAGACAACAATAGCTTTCGAATGATAAAAAAACTCCGTCAAAAATGGCTAGATAAAAAGTCGAAATTTGCCTGAAGAAAAAAACCACCCCAAGCGAAATGTTCCGTTAATTTCGTTACGGAAGTCGGAACCAAAACAATGGAAAAGCTCAACATAATTCAACCATAAAATAAATCGTCAGTATCAAAAAGAATAACTCTTATGAGACAATATTATCGACCAAGAAGCTCAAAATGGTATACCTATTTAAACTCCCAAAGAGGGCTTTTTATGCACTGAAATTATTCATTACTACATCTTGAAATAAAATTTTGGAGTCAGATTGACTAATCTGGCTGACCAATTTTTCAGCATAACATATGCACTTTCAAGAAGTTAAACTAGTAATTTGGTTTGCAACCGTTGACGTTTGAGTTTGATATATTGTTCAGTTAAAACAAACCTTCAAATTTTTATTAAATAAAATGTAATTTTTTTCTAAAATTTGAGATTTTTTGTGAAAATCAGCAGCCCAAATGCAATATAAAATACCAAAGGATAGATTTCGCTACAATAACAAAATAATTAACAAAATATTTAGGATAACAAAATATTTAATCAAATAAGCTTCTTACAACCAATTTGGAAGGATTTCTAAGACGGATTAAACCTCCGCTTACACGTTAATAAAGCGAAATAAATTGCGCGTTAAGTGTCCAAGATTGGCCAAAATGGCAATCTTTAAGCCCCCATAGTCTTACAAAAAATGATCACAGGTGAAATATCTTTTCGAATTTA